CACAGCAGGATCTACTATGTCGTTACCATACTCACAAGTTGAAGGCTCTCCAGTGCGGCGCATACTGCTGCAACAAATTAAGGTGTCGTTGCGGATCGTGTGGGCGATTGTGCGCAGTTTCGACAAGCCTCAGGTTTACAAAAGTTTTATTCAACTTGTAAGTTCATTGAAGGCGATGATGGTGTGGGAAGCATCGGGGAGGTCCATCTAGTCTCCAGTGTCTCCACCGCTTGCAGTAGTTAGCGCCTCGAGATTTTGGATGATAAGAAACACATCATTAGCTTTCGAGTGCTGGGCGGGGGCCACCGTTTACAGAACTACTCGTCCGTGTTATCTCTACACGAGCACAAAAAAAAGAAAGAAAAGAGGGGGGTCATGTGCAACAAATAACCAATTTATTGGCCAAGTTTTCAATTTAATAATCACCATATATACTTAAAAAGTTAAATTTTTATTTATGAAGCTTTTAAAAAGCTTTTCTACAAGATATTATTAAATATACTTATTTCTATTTTATTTTTTTTATATAAGTAAATACTAGTGTTATAATATATATCTATAATAACATTTTATTTATTTGACTCTATTTTCGTGAAAATTGACATTTATGGTTTTTATATAAAGACTCTTATTTAGGGAGTGTGGGCATGTCAAATCTTATCTTTAGCAAAATGATTTTTTCTAAATTCATCTCTATTCTATTATTTGGAATTTTTAAGTTGTAAAGAATCATGTTTTATATCTGCATCCTAGTACTTTCAAACACATAATCAAATCTTTCTTTTCTTTTCTTATTTCTAAATTACTATAGTTTCTATAGCATTATTTTATATTGGATATTAAGTTGAGATTTTAGTTTATTAAGATCTCTACAAATAATCTTGGTTGTTCTTTGTTAATTATAATTTGGAATTTTATTTTTTATTTTTTATTTTGCACAAATAAATTGGAACAAATAAGCTTACATAATCTTGTTGATGTCTTCTAGGAGCATTTATTTAGTTTTATCTACTCATAAAAAAAATAAGCTTTCATACATTTATATATTATTTCTTAAAATTAAGGTTGTAACATTAGTAGGACTATTAATAATAATTCCATGTGTCTTTGAATATTTTTACAATTGATTAATTAGAAGGTGGTATTTTTATTTATATATATATATATATATATATATATATATATGCAATTTATATTCTAGTCACACTTTTTTCATTGTCTTTCTTTCAATTTGACAACATTTAGTATATATTCCTTCTATTTTTTTATAAAAGCTCTTATTTGCACATTTAAAATAATATTTGATAATAGTTAATTATATTTTAAATATAGTTTATTTTTTATAAAATATTTATTATATTATATATCTCTATTAGAATTTGACTTTGACTTATTTATTTATTTAACATTAAAAATTAAATTTTCTAAATTATTTCTAGGTTAATAAATACCTTCTTTTGTAAGATTGATGTGATTATTCTTATATTTTTATTTATTTCAGACTTGTAATAAAAATATTACCTTCTTCATTGAATTGATTTGTTTGTTTTCTTTTATCATTGACAAAGTATAAATACAAGATTATGGCAAATACTATGTTTGAATTATTTAGTTGATTAACACTAGAATTATGAGCCAACTTCCTTCTCCTCAGCAATCATGGATTTTTAAACTTAATGTTAGTTAATTTTCAATAATATTTTATTTGATTATTTGTTGCCAAAAAAAAATAACACTCAATAGATAAGTTGTGGTAATTAATTAAGATATTCATCTTCTTCTTGGTTATGAAATTGATTACTTCTACATCAAGTTTGAATTATTTTCTTATTTTTAGATCCAAGCAAAACATAGGTTCTAAAAAGTCATAATTTTTTTATCTTTTGCTAAAACTTTATTCAAGCTAGTTGCAACTTTTGAGGCCACTTTGAAAAATAATTACTTAATAAATCTTTTTAAAAGATTCACATTCAAATTTTAATATCTTTCATTTTATTCAATGATTTTAGATTCTAAATTATATTAAATTCAAACTTAAAATTGTAAGCTTAACATAGATAAAGACTTATCTATGGATAATAGTACAAATGATATAACATTATTTAAGTTTTATTTTTTAAGTTTGATTATCAATAGAATTAAAAAAATAAAAATAAAAATCTCTTCTTTTATTTTTTAAATTCTTTTTCATTCTATAACTACCTCCATGTCTTTTTCTAATTGCAACAACCATTCATCAAATTATTTATATGAGAGTTTGATTCTTTTAAAACCAATAATTACAATATGATTAAAAAAAAAAAAAAAAAAAAAAAAAAAAAAAAAAAAAAAACTTTATTAAATTATTTCATATTAACCTTAGCATTATGTGTCTCTTTTTATAAATTTATTTTTTTATATATGATCAATAATTTAATATATACAATTATGTGCAATAAGTCCTTGTATCTCCTTCAACTGAATTAGTATAATTAATTGTCTTTATAATGGCACCTTTACATGGCCAAAGAGATGCAAGAAAAGAATTGAATAAGAAGATTTTCACCCTCTATAATGTAGCATGTTGGAGTTATAGAAGGATTGCAAAGGCTTTGGAGGTAGGAAAGTCAAGAGTTCAAGAGGTGGTGAAGAAAAGAGATTTATAGGAGGATCATAATGGAGATGCTCTTTATAAAGGTTGTCTGCAAAAAATTACAAGGATTGTAAGAAGTATAGTAGATGAGGTGATAAATAAGGATCCTATATTATCTTTGAAAGAGATTGTAAGAAAAGGAGATATTGGGCTCTCTTTTTCGAGTATTTGCAAGATTTTTTCTATTAATAGATTCTATTGCAAAAAATCCTACTAGATATCAAGACAAAAAGAAAAACGTAGAGAATTTGCTTTTAAAAGTCGTAGATGGAATTTGAAGCAATGGACTAGAATTTGTTTCATCAAAAAGGCCACTATAGTCTATGATTCATGTCATGCAAGAAAGAAGGTCTATATATGTCAAAGTAAGAAACTTAGTTTTAAGTCAAGGAAGAAGAATGTTGGAATTTTTGCATGCATTACAAAAAGATGTTCTATAGTAGCATTAGTGATGAAGAAAACAAAGAAAGAGTGTACTACTCCTCGCAATAGACTTGGCTCCAATGATGTGCATTTTGCCCAAGATTTATACAAACCTTACATTATTTCTTTTATTTGCAATCTAAGCAATGAGACAAGTCATATCTATCTAGTTGCAAATGGAGTAAGATTGCACCAAGGGCCTGAGAACGTGAGAATCTAGAGAAAATGTAATTATACACAATTACTTTGGCCACCCAATTCTCTAGACCTCAACCCAATTGAAAGTTGTTGGATGATTCTCAAACAATGTCTTAAAAAGTGTTTCTTGTATAGAGAGAGAGACCTTATGATGCCTTACAATTGTTTGAAGTGGCACATGACAAATAGAACCTCATTGATCATGGCACTATTGATAAATGGATAGATGAAATGCCTAGAAGATTGCATGCAATTTTTAGTACATATGGAGGTCACACTCAATGGTAGTGAAGCTTAGATGGTACTATTGTGGTCTTATAAATTTTGTGAATACATGAGCTTGTGTGTGTCAATGGTAGTGAAGCTTAGATGGTACTATTGTGGTCTTCTAAATTTTGTGAATACATGAGATTGTGTGTGGTTGTGAGCCTCACCAAAGCAGACTTGTTTTTCATCAACATGAGTACAAAGACTTATTGCACATTGTTATATATAATCTTTCTTTCTTTTTAAATAATAGTATTACTTTAATTGGATTATAATCCAAATATTATAATATTGAAATCAAATCTAATTACTAATTGTACAAAAATATACAAAAGAATGCAAAATAAATTAAAAAGAAAAAAGAAAGAAAAAAATATTAAAATTTATACTTAGATTGTTTGGGTAGACATAATTATATAAAATACTTATTTTGTTGTCATATTTAAAAGATCCACTACAAAATCACAAAGAAAATCAATATTCAAGATGTTGATTACATTACCAAGTTGCCAAATATTCAAATATAAGACTATAATCCTTAAAAATAATGAAATACTATATTAAACTGCAGTGAGTGAACTCACAGTGTGTATTTGTGTATTTATTGACACACAACTACAAATTAAACATTTGACCAAGTTCAATTAGTCACACAACCATTACCAAATCATACAAGTCATGTAAGTTGCAAATGACAATCCAATGTGACAAACAACTACACTGGTGATAACATATGCCCAGTGAATGTGCACTATCATTCCCTCAAAAGTGAAATACCGTCCCAAAAGAATCATACACAAAACAAGTCCGAGTTTCTGAACTCCTTTCGTTTCACACAATATTGGATTCTAATAGGACGATTACAAAATTCAAAACATTGAGTACAAATCTTGAAACTACACGTCAAGCTAAACGTCAAGCTAAACGTCACACTAAAATTTGTTTAAAAACACACTAAAACTAGATGATTTAACGCATCAGTTTGCTAACTCTAGTTCCAATCATGAAAACCCACATTTCGTAGCATGTAATGTGCTTCATGCGAAGGAAATGCAAAAATGTTTCAGTTCCACACCATCGGTAATCAGTGCGATCGACCATCGTGATGGACACATACCACATCAACTTCCCAACAGTTCAGTGACACCTAACAATTATCTGAACCAAACACACAACACGAAGACTTCGCGACTACTGCCCTTTCCCAAGATGCCCAGCAAGCCCTGCGCATGCGGACCACACACTACTCGCATCACCGCCATCCCCTACTTCCCAACACAGCCGCATCAACCGCCACCCACGTCTACATCTCGCACACCCAACCCAACCTCCACTCGCCTCTCGCCATATACACTCCTCTCACCACCACACCCACCTTTCAACAACCCACTCCACATCAACTCATGCGCACATCCCACCAACATTCCCACACATTGCCGCAACCCGCACCCACACACCCCCTTCCCCCTCAACTCCTTCATCAAGGTAATGGACGCTTTATTTGCACAAATGTTGTAGTACAGGCTGCACCTCGTCAAAGGGCTCGTAAATTACATGGACACACCCAATGGGAAACGCTTACAGTAAGATTACAGGGTCGCGTGTATGTACAGAACTAAACGCCGTCAAAATTTTGAACAACTATATCCGGAAATTCCCCCTCTCTCTCTCTCTCTCTCTCTCTCTCTCTCTCCCCATGCACTCAACCCAACACGCTGGGCTGTGCCACGCACCAATTCATGGCGCTTTCAACCGATTTCCTGGTTTCCTCGCCGCTGCTCGCTAAACTGTCTCACTACATCTGCTCCGTCATGTGTACAGGGATCAAATCTTTCCAATTTTCAAGAAAAAGTCACCAAGAAAATACTTCCAAAATAACTATGCGAAAAAATATTCTATAAAAAAAGTATAAAAAGAAAAATACTCTCCAAACTCGAAAAAAAGCCACCTCCCCCAGGATCCTTCGACCACGCCTCTACACCGCTGCGCGCGTGTCCAACCTCCAAATCAGTCAAACCTGATTCCTCGAACTTCCTCTGGGCCGTCTCGTGCACACCCAGCACCGCTTCCGCTGTGTGCACCTTCGACTTCATCTGACCGCGTTTGGAGCGTCACAAAATCATTACCAAAAATCTATTCGCCCTCCCACTGGCATCGCCTTCTCCAATATCACACTCTCTCTCTCTCTCTCTCTCTCTCTCTCTTTCTCTCTCGCTACCTACAACGTCTCCACTTCCACCCCCACCCTACCGTCACGCAAGTGCCGATACTCGAGACCGCGAGTCCGCACCGCCCGACGCAAACCCCTCCACTCGCACCATCGGATTCCCGCCGAAAGACGTCGGCCCGCGACCCGACACCTGATGCGACAGAACCGACTGAGCTCTCTGCAGGAACTGCACGTCGTGAATCAGCGGATTCCCCGACCGACTCGGAGGCGACCCGCAGAAGTACGGCGGCGAACACCCAAAATTCGATACGTCCCCACACCCACCCTGCACCACAGTACGCCCACACATTACCACCCCGCATCCTGTACCACCGCTGCCCCAACTACCCCAAAACCACGTAACACGCCCGTTACTACCACTCATCCCCCCCCCCACACACACACACACAAAATACAACAAACCCCCCACCGCAATGGCACGCCGCCGCATTCCCGAATCCACACCGCACCGGTCTCTGATCACTCACCTTGCTCAGAAGTATATCCAATAACTCAAATCCCGCATCTCCCTCTGTTCGCACCGTCGCCTGACTGCAACCGCCACAACAAAGCACACCACGACTCGGTTCATGTTCCGTCACAGCACCACGCCCCATACAACACTCTATCCATCCCCATACCACGCTACACCCCAATACCACCTCTCCTATCATGTTACCCACACCAAACCACACATGCTCCACACGTACCCTCGTCGCCGCCTTGGAGGCTTCATCAACTCGTTTACAGGACACGACACGTTCGTTGGTCGCCGCGGTTTCGGACAAATCACCTCCTCATCGTTTCCCTCCACTCGAAATCCCGACAAAGGTCGTCTCCTCTCGTTCATCTCTGGACGGCTCTCCAACGAGTTCCAGGCCCCAGCCAGGTGCTGGACACCACCTAGGTTCCTTGCGATCTCCAGTTTTGCTGATTCGTGCGCTTCCAGCCCCAACGAACCCCGTCTTCAGTCTATCACTCTTACCCAAGCACGTTACCGCATTCCCAGTTTCAACAACTTCCAAAACCTATATTGCTCCAAGTCCAAAGACACCGTGGGTGTATGTGTACAAAATTAAACTCTTCATGTACAGCAGCCTCATGTATATACAAGTGTGCGGTAAGATGATCCTGCAAAAGGACCAGAGACCGTACATCAGATTTATTGCTGAAATCCTTTCTTGATCATGGCTGCATCAACAGGCACAGCGTTGTATAGGCAGGCGCACGTATTGTTGGTGAGGACGATGGTCATTAAATAATTGAAGGGAACTGTCCAGGTCTTTCTGACTAATTTAAATCTGCAACTAGCTCTGCTTACGCTTCTGAGCATATAGCATGCACTTGGCGGCTATGACATAAACTATGTAAGTTGTTTAGTGATAGAGGTGCCGATAAACCATTATACAATCGTTCATAAGATGGAACCGAGATCTTTCTTCTGAAATGAAAGCTTGACATCCGTCAACACACATTCTCTAAATGTCCGGGCTAGACCTAACTTTTGATCGAACTGCCGGATATCGCTTGATAACCACACATCAGAGAAGGGCAATGTAAAAGTCATAACTGCGAGCACAGGTTCCGATTCTACGTACGGAACATAGTTGATCAACTGGATGAAGAGTGAAGCAAAGGCGAGTTGCACTGCGAGAATCTTTCCCACTCTTGGGTACGTACTATAGTATCCTCTGGGAAGGGGATGGGGGCAGAGAAGAAGACAATGTGGTCTTCACTGAAACAGGCACCCTTCATAACCTTGCAGATCCTATGCTTCACGTACCATACAAGGCCTGCGGGACCTATGACAAAAAGCGATTCAAGCTCGGTCACCCACGCGCACCTGCCTTCACCGCTTCATCGGCAAGACCCAGCGTGGGCAATACTCACCAGCCTAACTTCTTGAGAAATTCCGAATGGGGACGCACACATGAGACGAGCCTCACGAAATCCATGCGCCCCTCAAGTCCAGATGACAATTAGCCTCTGCTTCTGACTAAACAATACACCTCACTCCGCGTTTCATAGAGACTGGGGAACATATAAAGACGCAGAAAAAAACTGCGCCATACCGCTGCTGATACTCAGGAAAAGACATCCTCTGAATGAGTTTCAAACTCACCGCGACCCATACTTCAAAATACGCTCAACAGTGGTCGACGACAACAAACTTTCAATCGACCCCACACACACTACATGTCAAATACGGTGTAAACCAGCACAAGGGATGAACGCATATTATATTGATCCATAACTTCGAAGTGTGATAACCTTTAAAAACTGCATGTTAAGAATCGTGCTTTGCAAACATCTTGCGACGCCTCTCACTCGCGAGACCAACATTGCTACAGCGGGACAACGCAGAAGAAATATCGGGGAAGAGGTGCGCACTTACCGCACAAGATGGCCGGCAGGAGGAATTAGGCCAAGGAGGAAGATAAGCAAGAAATCGGCCGGCGAAGGGAGGGAAAAATCGAAGTGGCTCGAGGCGTGGTATGCAGAGGCCCTGACAATGTGTGTGGAACGGAAGAAAACATCTTCGTGACCGCTTGGTGCTTTTTATGCTCCTTCTCCGAACTTCTCCGGGCAGCCCGTGTGGTTGCCCGGATCTATTGGGCAGGTGCCTTGGTGGGAATGGTCCGCCGCGGGCTTCGCCCATGAGGTGGCTAGAGTGGGCTACGGATGGGGGCAGCAGTGAAGGGCAGTGCAGTGGGTTTAGGGGGAAAAAGAATCCGTTATCACCGGCCGCCAAGGCGACGGCATTTTGGAGGTAAGCGCCTGAAGGATTTCCAATCGCGTTCCCCTGGAGTTCCCGTGCAGCGTTCCCGGCGGTTGTGGAATCTCAGTTGGGTGGAGTAGGTTGTGTCTCATTGAGCCCTAAGTGGCATTTTTTATTTAAATTTGTATGTTGTATCTCGTGAAAAAAGTATTAATAACTAGTGATTCATTCGAAGCTTTGTTATTTTTATTAATATTATTATTTTGTTAATATATCGATGTGCGTGATGCTGATAGTTTGTTAATGATGCATAGTATATTGTTTTCCTTCCAATAGTTGAATGGAGTATTTTTTATTACATTTCACACTCTAAAAATGTGATTATTGATTTTTACAATTGCCTATCTTTTTATATACATATATATATACATATTTATTTATTTATTATGATTCTTACACAGTTCAAAAAAAACAAAACAAAACAAAACAATGGTGAGAAAATAAAGTGGCGTAAATGTAAGTTTCAATTATGTGAATTGAATTATTTTGCAAACAAATTAGGCTTTACTAATTTGTGAGTTCATTGTAAATGCAAGACACGTGACATGTGACATGTTGTTAGATATATGCAATTTAATAAGAAATAAATTACAGAAAATTGATTATATGCATGTGTTGTAATTTGATATATTCATTGCTATTGAGAACAAATTAGGGTTCCATTAATATATATATATATATGTACGTTTTATTCAATAAAATTTAAAAAAGTTCGATACTTTTATGTTTTTATGTTTTGTTTAATCGAGGAGAATGTATTGCAGTTGTTTGTATATTGTGAATTTAGAAATTTGAATCTTGTAAAATTTCATGCCTTTTGTACATCTTGATTTCTTGCGGTGAAAATATTAAGAAAGTTACCAATTAAGACCTTCAAACTTGGCACCGAAACACAACAATGACCCAGCTTTAAAATCGAAGTAAATAGTGAAGTTTTCTGGTAATAAATCCAAAGGTGAAAATGAAGCATTGATTTCCCAGCTCAGAATAAAGACCAAATCCTTTTTGCTTCGTCGATGAAAGTACCCGAATACATTCGTTATTTCGCTTGTAACATTCGTCACATCATAAATGAACGGAGAACATGTTGATGACCATCATCCAGATTCATCACATACGTGCGAAAGCGTCCTGCCCTACTAGACTGTCCAACAACTCTGCATTATAGCCATAAATCCAGAGGAATAACGCTTTGGTGCCAGAATAGAAAAATCCATGAAAGGCGTGGAAGAGCGGCGATGAACATGTGCTTGGAAAGCCTAGCTGTCCACTGCACTTTTCCGAGGCATCTCAAGACCCCCAGTTTTATTTATTTATTATATATATATATATATATATATATATATTTACGAACTTTAATATCAATAATTTTATGTTTTGAATGAAATTGAATGAGTGAAAACCGAAAGTGTCTATGTCAACGAAAAGCATTGTACCCATCAATTGAATTGGAAATTGAATGTCAAAACTCTTCCATAATGTTCATCAATTTCACATCTAGCAAATTGGTCCTTTATATTGGGGACTTTTCCATGAGCTTTTGTGCACAAGTAGTTTTTAAGATTTTAAGATTTTAGTTTTTTCAAGTTGACATCCATCTATAGGGTACATGGAACGAATCATCCACTATATATGTCCAGCTACGAATAAGTGAGGCACATCCATTGGTAGTCTAAAATGAGGTTGGAAAGTCCAAAAGTCCTTTTGTAATTTGAACATTAAGGCACCCAGTAGACATTTACATTGAATGGTTAAATGTTGTTTCAACATTTATCCTCAAAAAGCTAAAGGCGCTGACATTGCCCTGCCATGGTTCGATGTTGTTGTATTTGGGGAAAGCATCAAATACTTGGAAAATTTTAATAAGTAGTGAAAATCTGCAAAGTCAGCACTGAGATTTCTTGAGAGACTGACAAAGACTAAGTTAAAGCTTCACGAGTTTTAAGATATTTTTAAAGTTAATTTGCACTAAATTATATTTGAGACATGGATGGTATATGCCAACTCCACAGTTTTATATGAAAAGAGTGAACAAATTTCAGTAGGGTTCTACTGTGGCGTTACATCAAACACACACACACACACACACATCTATATATATATATATTTACAATAATACATATGTAATTTAATGAAAAATACAATAAAATACATGTATAATGTATACAAAGTGCATGAAATTCATGCATACGTTTACGAAATAAAATAATTAGAAAAATATAAAGAGTTTTAATAAACAATAATTGAATGTGAACTTAAGTGTTTAAATCTTATTCTTCAAAAGTGTTACAAATCCAACAAAATTGACGAATTCTTGATATGTAACATGTCAATTAAATAAAGACACCGGTCATACATTTGATACTGTTTAATTTTTTACTAAATCTTGGTTAGTTTTACTTGGATTACGAAAGATATATGTCGTTCTTCATTGCGAATATAAAATATTGAGAACCCAGGAAGGAAAGGAAAAGTAAAATCAAAGATTTCCGTCCCCCAGTTACAAAAGCATTGGTTCTGTGGAATGGAAGACTTTGTTTGCCTTCAACTTAAAGGGTGAGAAGTGACAATTAAGTGACCGAGGGCCTTGTTCCCAGAGGACTATAACCTGGTTCCCACGTCTGTTCCCATACTGTTTCACTCTTCACATTTGAAATCCAGTTGGCAGAACAGCTTTTGGCCCTAACCCTGGGAAGGACCCCATGTGACCGCCCGACGTGGCAGTACCCACATCATAGGTCCCACATGTATTCCTATTTTTCTACGTATCGATCTTTAGCTTTTTGTCCTTGAAAAAGCAACCTTTTCGTTTGGATCTATGTCCCATAATTGGCAGCCATGTTGCAGTGGATGAGGGCGGAGAATTTTCTAGTGTTGTGTCAAAACACAAAAAAGTAAAAGCACACCATGAAGTTCATTCAGTTGCGTCTGTTGTTGACACAAATTCGTTATTACATCCAGAGTTAAGAAAAAAATTGTCCCGTCTTATAGGATATATTTTTACCTCCAAACATTTTATTCCCTGTTGCGAGTTTTGTAATCCAATACACACACACACACACACACATATATATATATATATATATAAGTTAAAGTACCACATGAATGGAAACTGTCACTTGCTCTGATGTCGAATTCTATCAACAAGGATTTTGATTATCAGAAAATTTAAGCTCCAATTAATAGTAACATTTTCATTTTTTGCCAGGGAGATGAAGAAGGGGATTTAAATGAACGAATGAAACGCGGTATATCCAAATTTAGACGGATCCATACACTTGCGTCGGTCACGTCTCGATGAATTTTCATTCAGCACGCATTAATTCACTTTGATTGGAACGATGTTGTCGAACCCTAATTCAGGATCAGCGACGAAGGGAGCTCGTGCTGGATCCAATTCGTGCCCCACATCGCTTCTTTCTAGACGCCAACTAATATTAACCCCTGTGCATCAAAACCCCACTCCCTTTTTCAGAACCCCTACCCTGCACTTCCCCTGATGCAATAGAATCCTGCTCCTCGATCCGCTACCCTGGGCGAGCTCATATCTTGCCAGAGCCATGGAACAAGCGTCTCCGCCCGGATAATGAACATATTAGGGATGGAAGAAAAGACAACGAGACGCCACATGAAGACAAAAACGTTGCGATCTGGGTTCTGCAAAGGACAGAGCTGGTGACGCGGTTTTCCGTGAACCGGGGTTGTCGCTGTGGAGTTGCTTTTTCGGAGTCAGATGCTTCCGTTTGCTGGGGATGGAAAGTGGCCCCCCACTCCGCCCCCCGCAAAGTTGGATGAGCATCACAAGCGGTGTTTTTCTGCCCCTTTTGTGGAGAGCCGCGTTTAGCGGTCCGGGGAGAGTGATTAGTGGTGGGCGATGAATTAGCACAGCGATGAAAAAGCACCGCAACAGGATTGCGTCGTGATGACGGCAGGGACATGACGTTGGGGGGAGCCTGAGGATGACCACGTCGGGTGGCGACATCACAAGAATGTTGGCGAGAGCTGCTGAAACGAGGTTGGCGCTGGGGGTTGCGGACTCTGGATTAGGGTTTGGATTGGACTCGTCTACTATTCCTGCTTTTACTTTTATGCAACTTGATTATCCTCGGTTTTACTTTTTCGTAATAATTCCGTTCTGATGAAAGAGTTCACAATTGTACACACTAAGAAGTTGGTATTTTTGGGTTTTATAGTTAGTCATGTTTTCATTTTCTGAAGGTGATATGCAGGAGAAATATGAAAATGGCTTCAAAGGGGACATATTCAATATTCTGGTTAATTTTTTTAGTGCTAATATTTAAACTAATGTAACTTAAAATTTAACTGATCTCATTTAATCATGATTAGACAATTTGAGGATTTTTACCTTTTCATTTGAATTCAAATTTTCGAATTAAATTAAAGGTGGAACTTGAAAAATCTTTTGGTAAATGTTAATTTTTTTATTATTTTCATAATTATTTACAACAGATATTTTTAAATTACCATAATTTATTTGGCAAAAAAATAGTTAAAAAAAATGAAAATTTTACATTGAATGTGATTTATTATGTAGTATGAATTTCTTTTTATTAGCTTTAAAAGGTCAATTAACAATAACAAAA